ACGAGGCAAAGTTGGAATCTGTTAACATTGTTTACTATGTTGTGCAGATGAGGGAGTGACTTCAGAAAATGAGTGTCCAGTCGAACACGACCAAAATCCTGCAGAAGCATAAGTTCTGGTATGACTGATCAGCCCGGCAGAGGTCCCTTAGTCCTGGACAAAAAGTGTTGGTGCGCTTCCTTACTAACAACAATGAGCTACTGGCTAAGTGGCAAGGACCCTTTAAGGTTCAGAAGAAACTGGGTTCCACTACTTACTGGATGTCTACACTCCAGCCCCAGCAGGGTTCTGCATGTAAACCTTTTGAAGGAAGGGGTGCAGAGGAAGGGGAGTAATACTTACATTCTGCTGCTGTGGCAAACTGTGACCTTAGCCATCTGCCAGAGGATAAACAGCTTCAGGTGAAGGGTGAGTGGAACTCTGAAGTATATCAAGTGAATCCGGGTAGAACAGGTATTGCTGAATGACAACTCTGTCATTAAAGAGGGAGCCATGGGAAGGCGTCTGAGTTACAGGATTCCTGAATGTCTTTTGGCATCTCTAAAGAAGTAAGTTGACTTAATGTTGTCCTTGGGGATCATCGGGCCTTCAAGGAGCGTTTCACTGCATGTTTCACTGCTCAGTGACAAAAATACTTGTGAGCCCCTGAAACAAGATCAAAGACAATGCATTTACCAGACCTCATACCACAGGATATACCCAGGGGAAGCTACACTAAGTGTGTATGGTTCACCGCAGATATATAAACAGGGTGTATCTTTAAGACCAATTGTCTGTATGATCAATTCAGTCACCTATAACATCTAAAAGTTCTGTCTTCAACCTCAACTCGCTGGTAGGCAGCTCTAAACACCACATCCAGAACACCTTGGATTTTGTTGAGAAGGTGAAAGATGTCATTATAGAAGCTGATGAAATAATGGTCTCGTACGATATTACATCTCTCTTCACTTGTGTTTCAGTCACTGAAGCAGTGGATGTAGTTCATAAGAGATTACAGGATGACCCCAACCTCAGCAACAGGACAACTCTCAGCACCAACCAAGTGTGTTTGATGTTGGAACTGTGTCTTCATTTCATATAATTCACATACAAGGGTCAGTACTACAGGCAGTAACATGGGTTTGCTATGGGTTGTATGCTATACATTTAAATAATTCACCTATTATTGGTCATTGATCAATAGTCACTGATCAATGTTCATCACAATTTGCATATTAATGATCCTGAAACTGACCTTACAGGCCATTGTTCAACAGTGGTGCTAGTTTCAGTCAAATGTACTTTTTATAAAGTTGGGAAAACCCGCAGTCAGCTGAGACTGAAGAAATCAATTTTGAAAACATCAAAACATTTCAAATTTTTTAAGATGTTGTTTTTTGTTTATTAAGTCCTAGGCCTGCAAGTGCACAGTGCAGTGCAGCTGTGTTGTTCAAGTTTTTAATGCCTCAGCAGAGAAGTCGTTTTTGCCTTTCCAGGAAGGTTCTCCGCAGAGATTACCAGCACAGTTGAAAACTCAGCAGGCTTGTATGGATGCTGATTTCCTTTAAAAGCTCTGACTGGCAGAAACGCAAAGTAGCACATAATGAAATGACATAATAAACTCCATCATATATGAATGAGGCAAGCGTTTATTTACTGATTTACAACTGTAAAGGGTCTGCTGTAGTTTTTGCTGAACACGCCACTTTGTTGCAGATGCCTTCTCGCGAATGAACACTAGAGGGAGACACCAGCTCACTGATTTCTTAAGCAATCACTGCGCTAAAGAAATCAATGAAATTAGGTCAATAAATAAACAAGTTTTCTTTTTTTATTCACACTTTTTTTTATCTTCATGTGATTTTCTGAGTGAGATAAAAACAACAACGGACTAGCAAACGAGTTTCTACTTTTTCCAAAAATAATAAAAACTTAGTTCTAAGCACCAGATTATATAAGAAACTACTTATTGTAGTCTAAATTTACAAGACATAAGAAGCAACTGTGTTATATATTTTGGGTCTGTACTTTAATCATAAAGAGATCAGTTAAGTGTTATCATAATCTAGCTAAGAATATGAACTTTTAAAATGATCTAAAGTTATCACAGAGTGGTTTAAAAGCAGTGTTTCCGCTCGGCTGTAGTGTACTGTAAAGTGTGACTCAGCCTCATATAGCACTGCTACGGCTGTGTCTTTAAAACCCTGCTCTTGGCTCCTTGCCCAGAAAGTTTATTTCCCATTTCCCATCCAGCCACATGGACTGATCACCACCACGCAGAGCGAACAAGAATTTCCACTCTGAGAGCGGCAACTCCAGCAGCTGTTCTGAACACAGGACTTTAATCTTTGACCAGGGATTTCTACATCCACGGCTCGGTGAAGGACTTAAACCTCGCAGCAGATCTGCCACAGCTTGTCAGTCAACAGAGATTTGAGGTATTATTTAAAAACTGAGAGCTTTTGAACAGTTCTTTTTCTCCTGCCAGTCAGGTGCACCGTTATTCATGTAAGTAAGTGGTCTGTGTAGTTTACATGCTTGCTTTTGTTAACAGTGTGTTTTCTGGTACTGATCAGCTACTTTTTGGACCGTGTGTCAGATGACTCTTTGAATGTGTCGTGTCTGTTTCGTTCTGCTGCCATGTGAGCACTATTGTCTTTTTCTTTTCTTTTTTTTGCATGAATACAAAGCCTCTTTTCACAAATCTATAATTCCCCTCTCCTGTTGACCCGGCGGTTTTGTAGTTTGTGGGGCTGTAAAGTAGCTCTGCTCATTAGTGCTTCTCCTGTGAAGGCTGTAACTGGCAGGTTGGTGAAAGCTTGCACACATGACATTTAGTCGCCTTAGAGGAGGAATTAGGCACAAAGATTTAAAGGCAAACAATGTTGGCAAGGACAATTAGGTTAAGATTGACTGTTTTGTTTGTTCAAACTGTCACAGCCAGCAGTAAACAGGACGCTTGCCTTCACACACTCACACATTTACGCACAGACAGTGATGCTCTGATTGACTGAGCAGACTAAGGCACAGACACACCACCGTAAGAGATGACGTGATAAGCCAAGTGAGACTCTTTTAGAGACAGACTGGTTTGTTATTGCCGGTGTCTTGCACAGGGGCTACATCATGTGCTGCTGAAGTTTCTGGAGAATTTTCTGGGAAGATGAGGTCACAGGGAGACACACCCAGAGGGGCCTTTTCCAAGCAGGAAAGGCCACGGGTGGAAGACATTCATCAGTGGCTTTGAGTGAGTCACTTGCCATGAGAAAGCTGCAGTGTTGTTGGAATTTCCTTTCAGCGTGGAGCACAGAGGTTTTAACCTGGATATTTAAACTGAGCTGGATGGCGTCACATACACAGACAGTTCTTATTCAAATACACAGTTAGAGGCTGTATGCTTTAGTTCTACACAAGATCCTATTCTGTTAAGATGTTTGAGTTTCAAAGAGTGCAGATATAAAAAGGAGTAAAACAGTAAGAGCTGGCTCCAGCTGCTGGAATGTGGCTGGAATGAGGTTTATTTCCTCTTGGCTGAAAAGATCAAGATGGATGACCTGTGGATATTTAACCCCCCACATCCCCACCTCTGCTCTCCTCGTGATTTTTTATGTTTACATATACCAAGTGGAATTTCTTTTGGAGTCACAGTCAGGTTTAAAAATAGTAATATATTGCGTCTTCAGCTTTGTTCTGATGTTGAGAGGCCCAGAGGCTGAGATTTTATGTAAACGGATATGGCCGAGAGGGCCCACAGAGGCGGAAGCAGAAGTGGGGGTTGTTGAGTCACTGCAGTACTGTTCCTCCGACGTGTCACTTCTGGTCTCATGCCTCTCAATAGGCTCACATGCACAGACGGAGACTGAGATAACACAGTGTTAGATTGGGGCAGACGGTCATGGTGTGGCCAAAGGGAAAAAGAAAGTAAGCTGTTGCAATAAAATAGCAAATAATCATAAATTTTCATCATTGTAGAAACACACACAGACATACTATAATGACAAGAGGACTCCCTGCTGTATGTAAAGGCTTCATTTTGTGGCTGTGACCCTGCTCCCTCTGCTCACTGCTGCTTCTGTTGCATATTACATACAGTACAGCGGCTTTACTTTGGCACACAGCCGCTAGAATCCAATTTTAACTGTGTTTTCTTACTGCTCCCTGCTATGTAATACACCACACAGACTTCAACTTATTTTCTAAATAATGAAACCCTGGTGTCACGTTACTCACTGAACTGTATTTCTGACATATATTTACCGTAATTCATGTTGCTGTCACCCGTGCTTGCATTGCGGTCCTTAACTATTATGGAAAGCCACAGAAATGATTTACGTCCTGCGACTGATGATGGAGGGAGGAGTTTTTCTCTCATTAAACCCTGTGGTCATTCCAACAAACACTAAACTACACAGATTCTGGTTTCATACCAGTCTGTCACATGAAGTCACTCAAAGACAGATGATTATAATTTTATGTCTGCGGCATTTTTTTTCACTTGGGTGTGAGAGATTATAATTCTGCAGATTTTCTCCCTCTCTCTTTTTTGTTAACCCTGAACAGTCCACCGAGTTTCTCAACAACTTAGAGAGATCAGGCCACATGTTCATCTTAATTTTGCTAATCTATGAAAATTAAATGTTATTGAGGCCATTATTGAGTAAATTTCACAGCTGAGTTTATTCAGTGATTGGATTTATAGTTTAATAATTACCTTCCATTAAAATAACTGTTTCATGTACTAAATGTAATTTGTACCATTTCATTTCATCCAATTTTGTTCATCCTAGTTAAATAGCATAGATAGTTTCCTATAATTAGAAACTTACTGGGTTATTTCAAACCCAGCTTTTATAGTCTTTTATTCTTGTTTACACTTAAAAATTATTTAACAAAATATATTTTGCTTTCTTCATTTTAAATATCCATATAGTACATCAAATAGAAAATTACTGCAGGAAATACTCATCTAAACGATCAAGATTGGAGGTACGACACACCCTTCATAGTGCCCTCTGTCAGGCATATGGGAGTCCTTTTGTTTTTTATCAGATACTAGTTGAATGAATGTCTGTTTTTTGCAAGTCTGTGTCGCCCAGTATATTCCATGTGATGCAATGTGTGGTATGAAAACTGGCTGACCTTTTCATGCTCCTTGGCTCTTGACAGAATTTACAGCTCAAAGCATGATCGGGCGCAAAACAAGGCATCTTTGTGCAAGGCACATATCAGTTTAATAATGTTCCAGTTGTTTCAAAACTACAGCTGTGGTTCCCCCATTTATGGCTTGTTTAACCAGCTAGCTAGGATCACAATATTTAAGGTATCTTCCTTGGGCCACACCACATTTTCCTTGATGAGACTTTCCACCCTCTAAATACTAACTCCATGTTTGCAGATTACTGTCACATAACTAAGATACTTTTCCAGCTCCAGGGACTTGAGGAGACTTGTTTCCACTTGCTTGTGATGGTGCAGTCCAATAAAGAGCTATTGCGTCAGGACTAATCGTAAATCAGCCACAACTAATATACGACAGACAGTTGAGGTAAATTAAAAAATTGATCATTTCCTCGCAATGCAATCCCCAGATAGGTAACCTTGGGTGCTGGTCTTCATATTGACATATATTATTATTTATTAACACATCCAGTCAAGTAAAATATGCCTCACACAGTAACCTGCAGCACTCAAAGGATCCACGCTGAATGTTTTGATGCCAGACTACATTACGGGTCAGTGCCATTTTAGCAGCATTAACTCACACAGTGCATAGTTTCTGATAGTCATTTGAGCATTATGGATTTTTTACTCTTCCGAATGATTTTCACTGGCACTGATTGTGTTGTAGAGATGGGAAAATGCACTTCATCAAAACACCCAAGACATTTTCACAGCACCAATCAAAGCAGCTGTTTGTTTCCGATTGTACTAAGAGTCGTTTCACACAAACTGCATAAAAACTTTCAAAAAGAAAATAGAAATAGAAAAGCCTGCACTTCAAAGAACAGTGGCTCTGTGTTCTTCTGAATACTCTTTCAGCATCGGGAACTGGTCAAGCCAGATCTCTCAAAAGCCCTGAGCCACATCCCACTTTATCTCATGACTAACAATATCTTTTTATGCCTTAGACTTTATACACAAAACAACTGAGCAACACAAGACACAAGCAGATCCCTCCCAATTTTATTACAGTAGTTTTACAAATTGAACGTTTACTCTCGGTGAGCGCAGTTAAACTGAGGGAGGAGACTTGCGAAAGTAGCTGAGCAGAGGAGGGAGGACCTACCTGTCAAGAAAGAAATCTGACAGCAGTGCACCGATGAGGACGATGACTGCTAGCTGAGGGAAATAAATACAGTAGTGGAATGTGTCTGTTCATCTGTTGAAGAGTGGAAAGCTCAAAATGGGTGGCACTCAAAGTCAGAGGAAGAACAGCAGGAGATCCAGCTCAAGGAGTTACACCAACACCGTCACGTGAGTCCAGCCTCTCAGCTGTTTGATAATTTTACGGCACTTTGAGCTGATGCAGAATGAGGATTTCCACCTCTCCTACATGACTAACTCATGCAGTTATAACAGCATCAGACACTTTAAACGTTCTAATGGCGTTTCATGGGCTGTACTATACAAACTAAAATACAGACCTTGTGCTAGATTTCCCTTCTCTTTGCGCTCGGTGTGAGACTGACTTGCGCACACATGCAAATATTCACACACCCTAAAATGAACCCGTAGATAAGGTTGCATAGAGATGGGACTGTTAAATGTTTGCTCACTGTAGTTCCAAGTATGTGGATGTGGTTGTCCCTCTGCTTTTAGCAAACATAGAAGTGACAATAAAAGACGCAACACCACAATATGTCAAAGTAAATCAAACAGCACAGATAAGTTTAGCTTGTTCAGAATATTGTTTTTCTTTTTTAAAGGCTTGGGGGGGGGTTGGGGACAGTAACACAGAGAAGTTGTGACTTGACATGGTGAGCTCTGATTTGTCTGAACAGATCCTCAGTCGTCATCATAAAAAAGGAAAGAAAAAAAGATCTCAATGCGAGAAATATTGCTTCACTGTGTCAATGTTTGCTTGAGGTTATTCGCATCCTTGTTTGTACTAGCAGGAACAGTGGCACCTCTGCCCTCTGTGTGTGTGTGTGTGTGTGTGTGTGTGTGTGTGTGTGTGTGTGTGTGTGTGTGTGTGTGTGTGT